CCACTAAGCCTCCTCTCACTTGTTTCTCTAAGCAGGAGCCAGGAGATCGGATCTCGGGTAGGGCTCTCCCCGATTGGCAGAGGCAGCAGAGTGGCGAAGCCCAAGTCTGCGCCGACGGGGGCTCCAGGCCCAGAGCCTCGAGGGCGCTGCGGTCCCCAGGGTCGCGGTCGGAGCCTCCGTGTCTGCTCCTCCGGGAGGACGCTCAGGGAGTGACCCGCGAGGGACGAATAACAGGGCTGCAGGCCCTGCGGGAATCTGGAGGCGAAGCAGAGAGGCCAGACCCAGGCTGAGGAAGGGGAGGCCACAGAGCAAGGAGCCGCCCTGTGCCTGCCCTGGCCAGGTGCCTGTCGGGCCTGCAGAGTGGAGGCCAGGGGAGGACAGAGCTGGAGACTGACAGCCAGTGACCGTGAGAGCTCCCAGGACAGCTGCAGTGACCCCAGGGACCCGGAGCTCTCGTGTCCTTGTGTGGACCCACAGAGGGGAGTTAAGGGCTCCCCACGGGCGGGCCTCAGGGCAAGGACCAGGCACCTGGCCAGGCCTGGCTGGAGAGGGGCTGCCTCAGAAACATTCCCTTCCTGGATCAAGACAAACCAACTCAGGGTACTTTCTGGTCAGTGCTGAAGGTGGAATTCAGGGCCTTCGCACTGAACTATATCCATACCCCCTTTTCATTTCTTATTTTGAGACAGGGTCTTCTTAAGTCACTAATTTGCCCAAGGTGGGCTCTGACTGGGATTTGCAATCTTCCTGCCTCAGTCTCCCAGAGTAGTGGGATCACAAGCATGTGCTACCACACCAGCCAAGTTCTTTCTTTAATATGAATGGGCCATCAAGGGTCACAGGATACTGCAAGTATATAAATAAGCATAAAAGGTTAAAATCTCATGTGAACAAACAAATTAAAACCCTCACTCTAGAAAATGCATAAGGAAGGAAACAACATAAATTTCTGAAATTATTCACAGGTCAAAGAATAAGACAGGACAGTGTGGTACCTTGGTTTATGAACTCAATTCTTTCCACGATTCTGGTCTCAAATGAAACTGGACAGGAACCCAACCAAATGTCCCCATAGGTTTAGTGTCGAAACCTACCACTGAATTTGATTTGGTTCTCTTCCGACTCAGTTTGCAGCCAGAATCGTGGAAAGAATCCAGCTTGTGAACTGAGGAACCGCCGAACTTGGCAAAGACAAACAGAAAACACAGAAGGGATCTAGAAGATGTTTGCTTGTCAGAAAAATATTAGGCCACCTAGAAGTAAATTCTCCAAAAATGTTGTGCAAACACACATATAGCTAGGAAATATAAAAGAGAAGACATAGGTGGAAAACCTAGTATCAGACTGATAGAACACAGAGAAATTCAAGGGGTGAATTATATTTAAAAAATAAAGATAGAAGGATTCTGATTAAGAGGTCCCAGCACAAAAAGGAAAAGCAAAAATCAAAAACTGGGCTGGGGCTGCTGAGTGTAGAGCAGGTGCTCAGTGTAGCCAGAGCCCTGGGTTCAAGGTGCGGTGTCAAAGATTAGACAGAAACAACAGTGAGAAGAGGCCACCCCTAGATTCGCCCTCAGGAAGCTTCAGGTGGCAAAGTCACCGGTTAGCTCGGCGTGGACCCCACGCAGCAGTCCTTGGGGCTGATCAACAATGTCTCCTACGTGTGCCAATGCGGAATCGCCCGGTCTTTCCTGCTCTCTGCAGCCAGACAGACCGTGTCGGTGTGCAGACACTTGTCCGGGAAATGCTTTCTGCGTCACGCTTCTCAGAAAGTGGCTTACCGCAGAGGTGGGGCTGCGAGAGGATAAAGAGACCATGAATCAATCCAAAAAGAGGAGGATGTGAGACACAGGGTCCCGCCCGGGACGGCCACCAAAGCACATGCTCCTGGCTCCCCCGCTGTGGTGGGACCCAGTGCCGGTGAAGGTCAGGAAGCGGGAAATCTCTCCAGGACCTGGCGGGAGGGTGGGCTCTCCCGAGGACGTGCTGAAGGCCATGCGCAGGCACAGGAAATCGAAGACCAGTGGGAAAACTGTGACCAAAGGTGTGAAGAAGGTAGAGCGATTGTGTGCTGTTGGCAGAGAATAAGAAACAGGGACCCATTTGGCTATGATATCAGGAAAATGTTTCGTAAACGCTACAGGGCCATGAGACCGGGCAGAGAGAAAGAAATCTCCACACGCTTCTTGGTTGCGATATGCATGGTTTCTTAAATGTTACTGATTGGCTTCCAGTTTGTGATCCAGCGGTGGCTCCCAAGTAAAGTTGCTGTTAGGGGTGGAGTAGACTGTACACATGGGCTCTCTTAGCGCAGACCAGGATGAACAGTGGAGGTCGGAGAAAAGGCAGAAGGAAGTATGACACCAACTAACTAACCAACTAACCAACCGACCAACTAACCACCTAACTAACCTTCTGGTGGAAGCGGCTCTTCCCAGCGCGGTGCCCCCTGTTGTCAGGGACCTGGCTGGCAGCTCGCGCTGGCTGTGATGGGAGGACCCTGTGGAATCGAGCGGGTACCTTGCCGCGCCTCTGGGAACCGCAGGAGGCAGGCAGCAGCAGCTCCTGTCCCAGCTAGGACGGCGCTCACACCGCAGTCGCAGAGCAGGAACGGTAGTGTGAGTATTTTAACTCAAGGTGAACGTGTAACCCAAGCAAGGAACTCTGAGGCATCACTGTGTGTCTTTATGTTTTACGAGAAGAAAGTACTCTCAGTGGCCTGATCGCGCTTTCTCAGGGATAAGTTAACGCGTGTGGTCTAAATGAAAACAGTCAGACTGCAGAAGGACTCAGACCCAAGCATTCAGAAGCAGACCTCTGAGAGGTGCTGGTCGGGCCGCGAGAGGAGACTGGCTTTTTAACACCACTTCTAGAGTTGGATTAGGGAGGGGCTGAGGTACAAATTCTCCTGAGCATTTAAGCAACTTTAATTTGATTAATTAGATAATTAACCCATCCATGTACAATTCTTCTAAACATGACTAGTTAAAATTGTATTAAATTAATTTCTAACTTTAAAATACAAATAACCAAGGAGGTTTATAAGTCTATTTTTTAAAAATTCCTTTATACTTTTATAAATCTAATTAAAACACAAATTTATTGCATCACGTTTTGAAAATATTTTATCATGTTAAAATCAAACCCATCACTTTATCAAATGACATTTTTCTAGACATTTAAACATAGCTACTGATTTACTGTTTTCTAAGTACCTCAGTTAAAATTACAAATCCAGAGCTGGGTGTGGAGGTGCACACCTGTAATCCCAGCACTCAAGGAGGCTGAGGCAGAAGGATTCTAAATTTGATCCCAGCCTGGGGAATTTAGCAAGACTGTACTCCATCTCAAAAACATAGAATACAATAGGATAGAATAAGGGCTGGGGATGTAGCTCAGTGGCATCGTGCCTGCCTGGCAAGCGCAAGGTCCTGAGTTTGATCCCTGGTACAAAATAATAATAATAATAATAATAATAATAATTAGAGTGGTATAAGTCCATTTTGGAATGCTATGAAGTTATTTTAGTACAGTTAGCGCCATTGTTTCCCATTATTTTTAAGGAAGTCAAGCCTACTGCCTTAATGTAATGTCTTAATAAGTTTTTTTTATAATAATAGAATAAAATAATAAAATAGGGCTGGGTATATAGTTTAGTGCAAAGCCCTGGATTCAATCTCTAGTACCAATTCTTTTTATAAATCATAAATCCATTATATCTTTTTGTTTAATTTGCTGCATTTAAAAAAAATGCTTCAAATAACATAAAAGCTGACAAAGCATGTACAGCATAGCCTGTGACCCCCAAACTGAGCACATTTAAAAGACTACAACTTACCTAAAGTCTTACCACTACAAACATTTCTGTGTAAGTAAGTAGTTATTTCTGTACAGATTTCTGGGGCACCAACCACCCCTTCCCAGCTGGAAGTAACAAAACCAGTCTCAGGCCTCCCCGGCCTGGCTCTGTCCAAGGAAACCCCACTCACCGCTTGGGACGCTGTCCCGGCCTGGCTTACGCGGCTGTGTCCTGTACGCTCAGAAACACGGTTGCACCCCTGGTCCCTGGGGGTGGAGAGAATGCCCACGTCCGCAGCTTACAGGAGGAGAGGCGCACAGAACTCGGCTCATGGTGTCAGTCCGTGGTCCCAAGCAGAAGCAGGACGGCAGAGGGGCCCGTGGAAGAGAAGGAGCTCGCGCCGTGGCGGCCAGGACGCAGCGGCGAAGGGAGGAGAGAGGAGGAGGCGGTGCCCCCAGGCCACCCCCAGTGACCCCTCAGACGAGGCCCCACCTCCTACGGCACAGTCAGCTGTGGACACACGAAGGGATTAGTTCACTGGTGAGCACGGCGGCCCGTGATCCAGGCCTCTTCCCAACGCCCCGCAGGGGACTCCTGAGGGACGCTTAGGTCTGCGCCGTTTCTCCCGAGCCCCATTTTGGCTGTGCCCCTTTCAACTTTCAATACTGTACTTGGTTGGGCAGCGTGAACTTCATGCCTACTCCAAGGGTCCTCTGGTCTCATTGCCTGATCCTCACTGAAGGACACTTGTCCTCTTTATTGCCTTCTTACTGGGTTCACGGACACGATTTCATAACCATACGCGTAAATTATCCCATCGGTGAGCCACACGAGGAAGGAAGATTTCCAGGTGCGCAGCACGGGTTTCATACACTGTTGAGTAACTATAACTGGTTCCTTTCGAGTAACTGTTTTATATTCCAGCACGTCAGCGTGGCCAGTTTTTGGACTGCGCAAGCCTGTAGATATTAAAATCTTAAAATATTTCCCCTCTTGTGAAGCAGGCTCCCCTCTGGAAGGTGACTCAGTCTTTAGCCTCTGCTGTCACACGGGTCCCGACTGCGCCAAGGTCACAGAATGTGTTCTATGCCCAGGATGCGGTGTTCAAGGTGAATAAATTCACGCGTGGAGTGGCCCTCTGGGCTATGAAAACACGAGCTGTGACGTGCACAAAAGCCACGGAGCTCAAAGGCACCTGCCCCGACTTGCAGTACACAGCACTTGCTCACACGATTTCAGGCACGGACGAAGCTGAGAGTGATAAAGGAGTTAGTTGTTCAAGGTCACCTGGAGACTGGCCCCCAAAGCCTGGTTTGAACACAGGCAGGCTGGCTCCAGGGAATCGCCAGCACCGAGCTGCGGGAAAGTGTGGGAGACGAGGTTAGGGCAGCACCCCCTGCACTCAGGGTGAGGAGACAGAGGGCTGCACGGGCTCCAGGGGAGCGTCGTCAGGGTCCTGCCTGTTTGTCAAGGTTCCCGCGCGGGGGTGTGGAGGGCAGATCTGGGGTGAGAGTGTGGGGAAGCCAGGAGACCCCGGTGAGAGGTGCGGAGCCATGAGCAGTCAGCAGACGCCGGGCGGCCCTGTGCGGAGGGCCGAGGACTGGGGTGGAGCGAAGACTTTCTCATGAAAAAAAAGCAATTTGCAGGCGATCCGGTCAGATGATTTGCGGAGAACAAGCTCCCCTTAGACCTCCGTGTTCATCTTGTAGGATGGGGGTCGAAACGTATTTCGAGAGCAGGAAGGATTCGCTTGGGCCTGCTTTCAGATTTTAATTCAGTTACTAGAATCACACCGTAGGAGTCTCTGGCCATCATCCTGTAAAACTGCTGCTTTTATAGTCACTGTTTTATGGTCTAGCAAAACTGATTGGACTTACTTAATGCTGCTAGAGTCTTTGGCTATCACAATCAAAAGGAAAAATATTCTCCTGCAGGATGAGTTTCCATTGGGGAAGTTTCCCTGTAATCATCCTGTCCCTGGCTGTACCCACAGATTGGTAAAACCCAAATCAGCCCACACTGGTTCTGAGTCCACGGGACTGGAATTTTTTAACCATTCCTTGGATGTGAATTATTTTCCACACAGATAATTTTATTACCAAGTGAATTAGATATGTCATCAGACATAAAGATACTTTTAAAATAATAAATTTTTAAGTTTTATTCACTAAGGCCTAGAGAATGGGGCTATATTAACATTTACACTTTGTTCTCTCTAATATTTGTCTTTATTTTCTGCCCTCAAGTATGATTTTTATTTTATTTACGCTCATGAAGTCATGATTTTTAGTAATCATTTATCATAAAGTCAATATATCCACCCTGGTTTTGTAAGAAAACAAGTTTCATATGAATAGGAAAAGGAACTTTAGAAAATAGATTCTTCCCTGTGGAGAGCATTGTTAAGAATCAGTCTTAGCTGCTAACTGAATAAAAGGGATTACAGCAAAAGTGGTTCTTCCTTATTTTTCATTTTATTTAAAAAGTCTAAATCGTCATAAGTGCCTTCGTGTACCCAGGAAGAAGTCGGTTCTTTCCCGCGGTCTAAGGTTTGAGGCCCTTCCCTCCGTTCACCTGTGCTCCGTGGTAGGTGGAGTAGCCGCCTAGGTCTTGCTGCGAGTGGAGCGGTCGCCTCTGAGGGTTGCTCACTGTTTAATCAGAGATTAGAAACACTTAGCAACAGAGTTGTGACGCAAAAGACACAGCCGGGTAGAGTACTGGGTTAGTCCTCCTGGACCTGCACCGTCCCGTGTCAGCGGCCACTCTGCCCTGCACGGAAGGACTCCCCTCCCTCCCTCCTTTCTGTCGCTCTCTCTCTTTCCTCTCTCTCTCCCTCCCCTCTTGTGGTACAGCGGACTGAACCCAAGGCCTCTGTGTGCTGGCCCAGTGCTGTAACACTGGGCTGCATGCCCTGCGGCATTTCTGGGTCCTGCAGGCTTCCAGCCTTTGAGGGGCCTGGCTTTGTGAGTAGGCAGCACCCTGGGGCTGGGTGTGCCCTGCTGGGGCAGTGAAATTCAGTTTCCCTGGAGAAAATGAGATGAGCCAGGTTTACTACGAGTGGAGCCTGTTATATACCCAGGGTTCCAATTATACCTTTAAAAGATGAATTCTGGCCCTCTTGCATTTTAGATGGCGTAGAGAATACTCTATCATTTCATTTACACAATTTTCATTTCTTGACATTTTACGTTCCTAAATCTGCCATTTTACTCTGTTTAGAGAAGACTAAATCCTATAACACTAAAGTTACAAAGTTATAGAGCCTCAACCTATCCCTTTGTCGTATGATGTGTTAGACCTCAGGGCAGGGTTTTTGTACCCGGCCTTTGTGGTACAGCTTCCAGCCGCCGTAAAGCGTGGTGTTAGCAAGGACAGCCGGGATTCGAACTCTCTGCTGTGCAGTGGGTCTTCACTGGCTCTGCTGTTTCCTCCAGGCCGGTCCTGGGGAAGAGGAGGAGGGAGGAAAGGTCATTGTACAGCACCGCCAGGTAGCCCATCAGAGTGAGATATGCAGGATGTAGCAGCTTAAAGATGCTTCCTGTGAAGGATACACGCGAGTCATGTGGAGGAAAATAGATGCACCTTGACACCATAATGTGAAGTGAAATAAATCAGTCACAAGAGCTTAAATATTGCGTGGTTTCGTGTATGAGAACAAAGTGCAAAGGAGGAGACGGACAGTAGGAAACAGGAAGATAGACCTTGGCCGCGGCGGCAGAGAGATGGAGGGCAGGGCGGGCGGAAAGGGGAAGTGAAGTGAAAAGAATTAAGATGTGTGGTGGACACACACAGCTCTCAAAAAGGAGTGCAGTGGCCATGCACTCAAGCATGTCCGTAAAAGTTAAAATGACAACGAAACGCTTCCTGTCTGTCTCAGAGAGCAGCGAGGCCTTGGGTCGGTGGCTCTGAAAGCGTTGCAGAGAGGCCACTGCTGTGAACCGCTCCCGGCAAGGGCCTGACGGCGGTGAGCGGGTAGCATTCGAATCCAGGCCTCTGCTGCGCGGCCTTCCCTTGGGTGCAGGCTCCCCACGCTTCGGGCCTCCCTGCCGGGGTCCTCGGCTTCACGAAAAGGGAGAGGGGCTGTGGGAAGTCACTGCCTGCCATGCCTCTCATGTGCTGCTTTGCGGAAGTTCACAGATTGCCTTTTGAATGCTAACGTTTTATGTTCTTTGGCGAAAACTGCAGCCTGCTGGAGTTTAAACGTGTGTGCGTGCGCAGGAATGTTCAAGGCTGGGTGTTGTATTTATGCAATTTGTGCTGTATCTTTATTTCAAGGACTCAAGAATAACTTTCCTGGGCCAGGGATTTAGTTCAGTGGTGCTGCCACCTGCCTCGTAAGCTCAAGGACCCGAGTTCGATCCCTGATACAAAAATAAATAAATAAATAATAATAATTTTCCTAGCTTTAGCTATTTTTTGATGCCAATTTCTGTATCTTATGGATTTATAGAAATTCAGAGCAGTTACATGGGCTATTTTTATACCTAAAGATATTAACTGTGTTAGTTGCACACTGCACACAGGGCAGTTAATTATAATGAAAATGTGCTTGTCTATTGTTTTTATTTTTGAAATTTTATCTTTCGATAATAAAAGTTAAATTTTTCTTTCTTAAAATTTTTAGTTACACATGGAACATTCCAGTTAGATGGACCGAAAAAAATCTGTCAGACATTACAGTCTACAATAGGTCAGAAAAAGGAGGTAACTATCAATTGATTTATTTCTTCTTTGAATTGATGTGCTACATTAATCTACTATGAGCATAAAAATCAACAATAACATTGACCGTTATGTACATTTTGGCTAAAAGTGATTTCTTAAATAATTTGCCAGTGATTCCAAAGCTACATCTACAACACGAATCTTACTACTCTCAGATATTCATCGTTTCTATGATTTACCATGAGTGATAGAATAATATATACCACAACCAAGGACAGGGGTACCTACCTGACTGAAGTATAAACTGATTTCCTCCCTTTCTTCCTACTGAATAAGTGAGCCATTGAATTACTTAAGATATTATTCAATGAGCTTCTTTAAAAAAATGCTCTGATTTACTCCAATCATTTTTTAAAAATATGTTTCTGTGTTCTCTTCCCATGGATTTGTCTTTTCCTTACTTGGGAAATCTTATATGAAAACAGGGAATTCTTATCACAGACCTCCAGGTCATTGGGAAAATAATAAATAAGGCAGGTTTTAGCACCGGTCCCAGAAGATTCTTGTTTTTCATACTTTTACTGCTGTACTTGTTTCGTGTTTCAAATTGTGCTTATCGAAGACAAGGGGGCCTCCTCTTGCCTCCCTCCCTCCCCTGGGGACTTTGTCTCCTAGTAGCCTTTGGCATGGATTCTCACTCCGGCCCTCTTAGGCTAAAAGTGGAGCACTTACCCTCCTGTGCCCATGCCTACAGCCATGGCGTGACCCTCCAAAATACTAATTGTGTCTCGATTCTTCTGGCAAGTGGGTTTTATCCTGTTTCCAGTAAGTTAAAAGAAAAACACGATGTAAATACAACCCACGTGTCACACAACTCATCCATTTGCTTTATGTGTTTGTTTATCGTCCTACGAGGGCCTCTGTCCCCGAGGTGCGTCCCCAGCCCCGCAGTTCAGTATACAGTCCGCTGGTTTTGTTACATTCACAAACGTGTGAAATCATCATCCCAGCCAAGTTTAGAGGATTTCATCACCTCCGAAACCCAGTGCCTTCAGGTGTTGCTCCTCTATCATCCCATATCCCGCCCTAAACAGCCACTAATCTCGTTATGCCTCTAGAGATTTACCTATTCTACACAATGGCATATAAATGAAATCATGTAGGTAGCATTTTCTGTCTTTTTTCAAATAACGTTTACAGGGTTTACCCATGTTGTAGCCTATATGAGTGCTTTATTCCTTTTTATTGCCAAGTTATATCCCATTGTACAGATAAACCACCTGTTCTTTACCCACTGATGAGCTGACAGATATTTGAACTATTTCCACCCTCATCTTCCGTGAATGATGCTGCTGTAACCCTTTGTGTACAGGTTCTGTGGTACCTCCAGTAGGTTCTCTCCTCCTCCTTTTCTTTTTTATTCTTTATTGCCAACTCTTGTGAGTATGGTTTTGCTAAGTACTCCACCAGCTTTGAAAGTAAGGCTGCTTCCTCCAGGGCCTCCTTAACAGAGACCACTGTTACAGCAGTGTTTTCCCCTCATCATGTGTGTCAGCAGTTATTATAACATTCTGGTCGGCTGTTCTCTTGAAGTCTTCCAGAAAGCCCAGGTGTTGCCATTGTGTCCTCGTATTTGCACACCTTTAGGTCGGGTGTGAGTACCAGGTTCTAGCCCTTGTTCCATCTTCTTCCCATTTTCTTACCCATAAGCACTTTTGCCAAAGGAAAATGGAGAAGAGAGAAAAAAGGCACCGAAAAGTCTATAACAGCACCAGTAAAAGGCTTAGAAAGAAGGCTAGGACTTCACTGGCTGGTTTTCAGTGGGTTTGACATAACGATGAGCACACACTTTCCCCATTCTTCACCATGTTTAAATGAAGGCTGGAAGAAAGTCTTGGCAGCAGCTCGATTCGCTATCTACAGATTTAAAAACATGAATAATTCATCTATCCTGACAGAATCTACCCGGCACTTTCATAGAATGGGGATAAATGTATGCAACTGAATTTACCAGATAACCAAGACTTCCTTTATGGATTTACTTATAAATCAAAAGTTCAGAGTAAACATTCACTTTATACTTACTATGTATTTACTAAGTAGACCCTTTGGAATGCAGAATTTAACCCCAATTAGTTAATTCTCTTAGGCAAGGGCTTATGGCACAGCCCATAACCCAATACTGGGGACGGGGTGTGACGGGAGGGTGGCAAATTCGAGGCCAGCCTGGGAAACATGGCACAGCTCTGTCTCAAAATGAAACAGAGAGGCAGGTGTTATTAAGACTGCCGTACGCAGATGCAGGGGTGCAGGGGGCATGGAGACAGTGCCGGGAGGCGAGGCACCTGCCTTCCCATGTGGACGGCAGTGCGGGCATGGCCAGCACAAGCACACAGTAAGAGGACTTGGGGCGCTGGTGGGACGACTCAGACAGCCTGACTGCGGGACAGGAAAGTCACCTCCAAAATGACAGCAAGCCAAGAGGTGAGGAGCTGCTCTAGAGTGCACTGGGTGACAGGGCCTGAGCTGAGAGCAGAGGCCCGGAGTGGGCGTGAGGGGCTCCCCGTCCCCCTGGGCCTGTCTGTGCCTCTCCCCCACTGATGTCCCTTGAGGAACAGAGCTCTCTCGCTGTTGTCCTTGCTGTCTTCACTCTTTGCAGAGCTATCAGTAGGTCTAATGCTTCCTTCTCGAGCGGGAGGATGCAGAAGTGAGGGAGGGAGTGGAAGGAAGAAGGAAGGAAGGAAGCACTGTGATGCTCACCCAGCCCTGATGGCAAAGCCTCCTTTATCCGGGACTTCAGGACCATGACTGGTCACTTAGCCAGAAGCAAACTAGACCTCTCTCTCTACTTCACAGTGCCTGCTCCACTTTCAGGCTGTGTACTGACTTCCTGTTTCCTGTTTGAGGACATCTTCCCTCCTGTCAGGGCCCAGATGACACACACTTCCCGAGGGTGCTGAGCGGGCCTTGGCTCACGTTACCCACTGCCCCACCTCCTGGCTTCTGTGCTGATTCACCAGCTAGAAATTTCCCAGGCAGCAGAGGGACGGCCCCTGAGAGCTTTCGTTTACAGTCACCTTGGACATGATCTTTCAAGTATTAGAAAAAATGAAACTTGTAATTTTCAACAAACAAAGAGGATTTCTACCACAAAACCTTTTCTGGCTATTCCAACATATCCTAAAAATATCTTTTATTTTAATAAATACTAACTGGATCCCATTTTGAAAGGATTTATTCTTTCCAAATAAATTTATTCTTGCCAAAGCATTACACATTTCTTTATTCTTACTGCTGTTTCCTCATCGAGATTTTGCTATAAAACAGTCATTAGAAAGACTTTTTCTATAGTAATTTCATATTAGCTTCATTGGTCTTTATTCCTGAGTTGTTGCACTGTACTTTAAACAAGAAAATTGTAATTTAAGCTGCATAAGACCGCTCTTTAAGCTCCTTGAAGACACAAACTACACACCCTGTTTCTTGTCCTGTCCACATAATGACAAGGTCCTGTGCACATCCTAGGGTCTGATGGGTCCTGGTTAGCAGGGTTGTGTGTCAGTCTGTTGTATTTTTGGAGATGGCCTGTGTATGCTTTACTTTTGTCTCTCTCACTCCAGGGTCAGCGTCTCTCTTGGCTGTCAGTGCATCTACATTTAGCAGTATATTATGTTTTTGCTTTTAATTTGCTGCTCTCTAGCAGTTAGTGTGTTTTCAGGGAGTCAGTCTCGCAAAAACAGGATCTTCTCACAGGCATTTGCTGAGAACATGGCTGAGAGAGCCCAAAGTCCTGAGGGAAGCAAAGACTTTGAGGTAACCGAGATGCCCCTGGACTCTTCATATGACCAGACTCCGACTGTCACAGAAATGGGGCTTGCTTAAAATTTCTAATAGCAGTATTTAATTATGTAGGCCCCAAATAATGACAAGCATATATTTTCACATACAAGGAACAAGAAGGAAGGATTTTCTTCATTTTTTTCTAGCTAAGCATCACGGAATGTGAAAACTTTGGGTGATTGTGGATTCGGTTTTGCTGGTGTAGAAGCTCAGTTCCTCTGTTCAACTTTGGTCAACCTCAAGTCTTGGAAGATTTATTCACCTAAACCAAACATGCAAGAGATTAACCAAGAATGCTAATTTGTTAATTTACACAGATAAAATATACTGGCCTAGTGAACCAGTAAACTCGTGTCAGCTAATTAGGTGTCTCTTCCCAGGAAGAAAGTTTACTTAGTCAGGATTAGAGGAGAGTTAAGGTAGATCAATTATTTTAAAGATGTCATCAAGCTGTGATAGCCAGATATATTGCATTATTCAAGTGGGCCTAATTATTGCATTTAGAAACTATCAATGGTGGCCAGATGCCATAAAAGTTCCTTGTTTGTGCAGTAGTTCAGAAAGAGATATTCCTGGCTTGCCATCTCTCCGAGATGGCTCGAATCCTGTTTTCTCCCTTCTTGTAGTTCTACAACCTGCTGGTGTTGGCTGCCTTTGCTGGATCTTTTGTATCTTAATAGAGGGCCACACCCTAGCTGTGCATCTGTTACTCCTGCCTGTGTTTTGTGGCCACTTCTCAGCCTTGTGTGGCTGCCTAACCACGAGGGAGGCTGATGCATGTCGTCTGCATGTAGCCTGATTCTGCTCCCGGCAAGCAAAGGGAGTTGTGTGGTAAGCAACTCGCCTTATTGTCTATCGGACCAGACCTCGCAAATGCCTGGGTACTTTGTAAGCTCCGCTGGGCACCTGCTCTCCTGGGCAGTTGGAGACACATGGGCACATCTTTGCTGTCCGAATCTCCTTCGCAGTTGTTCTTTGCAAGCTCCGGATGCGCCCTGATGAGAGTCCTTCTTCATGACAGGCAGGCTCCACTTTTCCAGACTCTCGTACATTGCGTGTTACATATTTAAACTACATCTTTTTTTTCCAGGCAGGTACTGCACACCATGTAACAGGAGTTGAGGGAGACCTTAAAATCATTACTGCCCCAGTCACGAATGCTTTCTTGAATGGGTTACCTGCTGGAGGTGTTACAGGATGGATAACCAGTCCATTTGTAGTAGAACAGGTTAGCCTCAGTTTCAGGGTTTGAAGATTTCTACCTTGACCCCAAATTCAGTGGTATATCTTACTTGAAAGGTTTAGCTCTTGAAACATACTTTGTATATCATTAGTCCCAGAGAACTACTCTTGAACCTTTTAACTTTTTTACTGTTATATGTGCAGAAAATTTAAAAGATGGAAACTCTGTCACTTTACTCAGAAAAATAATTTGCTTAAAACAGTAATGCCACACTGCCTTTAGATCACCAAAGAAAAATGTTCCCCTTATGTAAGATCTCATGTTATCACAAGTTATTTGTCTAAGGTTTGTTATAATTATTTATATAAAATAATAACAATAGAGCATTGTCATGCATGCACCTTTTGAAAAGGCAGCCGTAAGTTTTCTCTATCATTTAGACAATAATAAAAGGGAAAAATTTCTTTGAAAGAGTCCCCACCCAGAAAAAAATTCACTCAGCACTTTGATACACAGAACTGGTAAGAAACAGAACAAAATAATTTATAAGTTGAGAAATAGAATGTTTTTTTCAGTACCAGGAATTGAACTCAGGACCTTGCACTTCCAAGGCAGACTTGGTTGCACTGAGCTATATCCCAGGCCCAAGAAAGAGAATACTATGTGGCCATTATGCTTACATTTTCAAACATGCAAATGAAATTGCAGAGTATTAAGAATATAATTTCAAATTTAAAAATTGCTAATCATAAAGAAATTGCGTCCAATGATCTATGATGTGTGTTTGCATGTATGTGTACATGGAAGGTATACATACATGATGAAACATGTTAACTGTGATGAGCAATTTTTATGTTCTTCCATCTACTTTCTTTTTCATATTTTCCAAGTGTTCCACAAAGAGCACAATTATTTCTGTAATCAGAAAAAAGCCTAAAAGGAACGTACACCTGGAACAGGCATCATTTCAGCCCTCCTTCCTCATGTAACTAAGCTACCGAAGAGTGCTTTGCTGCCTACCACTGCCCTGAATGGAGTATGCACTTGGAAAGCCCTTAACTGCCGACTTCCTGGTCTCAGCTTCCTCATGCATACTGTGAGAAAAATCACAGTAACTCTAGACAGGCTTAACTGGGCACACATAAAGCACACTAAAATACTGCAGTATTTAGATGGATTGCCAGGAACGTCTCAATGTTATTTCTATTTGCTTTGCTTCTATTTATAGAGCTGGCAGTGTATCCCCTTTCATAATAATGGGGATAGCCACCATCTGTTGGACACATAAGACACAACGTTGTGACCAACACTTTGCCTACATTATCTTATTTCATCTGCCCAGCAGCCCCATGAGGGGTTTTATCCATATTTTCCTCCTAGTGAACTGGGACACAGCAGGGCCAGGTGATCTGGCCGAGGTTACCAGATAGTCAGTCTCAGAGAAAGGATTTTATCCCAGGCCTGTCAGCCTCAGAGGTTCATGTTCTTTCTTCTGTAACATATGCTTTATGCTTAGCAAGAGACACTCCTCCTGATACAAACATCCAAAGGGTAAGGTTGCCAAAAGATTAGCTTCCTTTCAACAACTTGTCCAAGGGAGAATGACAAAGAAAGATTAATACCACAGGAGTGAGGTAAGGGTTTATAATTTGTCAAGCACCTACTCTGAAAGGTCCTAAAGAAACTTATTGTCTTGTTGAAGAGCTTATTCATGTATCATGAAGAACTACTGTGTCCTGGACATCTTCCAGACCTTGCAAATGCCTCCAAAATTTAAATCATCTTTCCTCCCTAACTGTCCGACCCTGCTGTCCTGTAATGACAACACCATTATTTATCCAATCACACAAGCACACTTCCTTTCCCTTGAATGTTGACATCATCAGAAAAAGGTGTGTGTGAGGCATCTCTTGAATACATCACCTTCCTCCTGTTCATCTTCACAGTAGAGTAAGCCCCTGTCCTTTCTTGCCCTACACCAGTGATGGTGAATCTTTTAGAGACACATGCCCAAATTGCAACTCCACACCCGTTTATTTATTGCAAAGAGGTAGCACTGCAATTAAACCTGAATATTGAAGTTTTAGAGTAGAAAAAACAACCCGTACATTAACATCTTTTGTCTTAAAAGAAAAACAAATAACACGTGTGTCCTGGTTCACCAGCGCTGCGCCCAGAACGTTACAGTGGATTCTAACTTCGTCTTCTGGTGTCTAGAATCTCCTATCGCTACCAAAATAAATGTCTCCCATATTGCTAGCTTATAGACTTGAGGCTGTTACTTCCTTGCTTTAAACCTCCTCTCTCTTCCCCCTTTCGGAAGATGGATTCTCTAACGTGGCGTACGGCTCCTCACGTCAAAGCTTCAGCTTTATTTCAAGCTGCAACTTGGATTTTCTGGGATCATTGCCTACATTGCCTCTCACTCAACCACCTGAAATTCTTCAAATACTCTGCTTCCACACCATTATTCACATTGTACATGTCTGTGCCCCTAACATCGATGTGAACGGAGAAGCATGGGAATAACGCTAATTATAACCCCGTCATGGCACAGCTATTTTTAAGTGTGCGTGTTTTACCTAAAACATGAGTCTCTGTTCCTTCAGGGTTGGCTTCTAAAATCTGCTTCCTCGAACTCTGTATAAATGTTGGATGTCACTTTACAAAGAGAGTTAATCTGGTGAATCCATTGATTAAAAAAACACTGTTATAGCAAATTGAAGTGAGGAAGTCGGAGGCATTACAAAGATAAATAAAATGGGGAGGCAAGTATGGAACAGATTATACAATCAAGAGCGTTGTGTTTGGATTCTGATGGTATTTCAGGCTTCCTTGGCATTTGAAAGGCATTGCTGATTCTCAGATCATTATTCCGCATAGCAGTAACCACCTCTATCGGCTTCGATGGCTGATGTTAACACAGCATTGTTGTACAAGTTTACATTTTTATCCCTTCCCCAGGCTGCTCAGTGAATATTCTTTACATAATTAACCCATTATGGTCAGGAATATATGCATTAGTCACAGAAGGCCTGGACACTCTGTCTTTAGGCGATGTTCTCCTTTATTGAAGTATTGGCCAGCACAAAATTATTTCACTCATTTGGCAAGCTTCTGCTAGTAAGAAGTGTAAGTCACAAAGGACAGGATGTGTACTGACATTATTTCTTTTTCAGCTTCCTCCAGTGACAGGCTGAAGTTAGGCAACTAAAGAATTAGGCTTTGGGGCTTCGGATTCTAATCAAACTTGACTCCTTGAGCTAATATTTCTCTTCTTTTCCTTTTTGCCCTCTGGGTCTAATTTCGCTGTGTTTACAGTATATGCAAACATGTTTCTCATTAGTGTTTGTTCACTGCCACAGGAATCACTTTGAACTCTCTTGATCCTACTGGAAATGCTTTGCTCAAAATAAACCCGGATCATATTGGGTTTTATCGTGTAAATTATGAAGTACCAACTTGGGGACAGATAGCTTCGGCTCTTGACTCAAACCACACGGTAAGAGACAGCAATGGTTATGAATTGTTTTGTTTTTGTTCTAGAACAACATTTTAATGATACTAATTTCGGAAACACACTCTGAGAATCATGCTTTTCCCTCTTTTCCCTTCCCCTTTGCAGGACTTTTCTTCTGCTGACCGTGCAAGTCTTATCGACGATGCTTTTGCCCTGGCAAAGTAAGTGTTATAGTAACATTAGACCACTTACAATAGCATTGGTCTTTACATAGATTTATGAATAAATTACAATAGCATTCATATGTTCATCAGTTTAGTCTAAAATATCAAAAAGCATACTTGAAATATTACTGAGTTTGATCCCCAGTACTGCCAAAAAAAAAAAAGTACTTGGATTAGCTCTTAACATACAAAAACTCACCTACCCCACTGGCTTTGAGTATGACTTGCTCTGTAGCAGGGTTCTGGGGCTAATTAGGAGTGCTATTGGCAAGGGCTCAGAGATGCACTTCATAATTTGATTTAATGAAAGGATGAACAATGTGATTCATTAATTTAGTTCGGAGAGCCCAAGCTCACTGTATGATTTTAATGCTATAATTGTCCAATCTTGCTCTGGTCTTTGGGGCAGAAAGAAAGAGCCACAGTGCTCCAGGACTGACCTGCGGTAAGTACCACCTCAGAGGCTGACTTTTTCCTCCTTGACAAGGTGGCCTGCTCTTAGGAAGGGGCACTCAGTTCAGTTTGGGGGTCGGAGGGGTGGGGACCGTGGTCCTCTGTGTGCATCAGCACTACCCAGTTCAGCAAGTTTTCAGGACTTTGCAGGAGCTGGAGATGCAGCAGATTTTATTTCTCTGCGTTTGTTGTGGCCTCATTCTAACCCTGACCAAGAGGTGGAGAAGGAGGCCTTGCTTAGGGGCCTCCCGAGGCTTCTGTCTCCGGTGGGCCCTCTCAGGGGCTGTCCTTCCCCAAGTGTTACACTGGCACCGCGTAATCACTGCGACCTGTGACCCTGAGAATCACAAGGGAGGCGCCCACCCCAGCCCATGCCTGCGGGCTGCTCTGAAAGTATACTGCTCCGGGGCACCGCCACTGGGCACTGCCGCTGGGCTGGAGGGCAGCAGTGAAGGTATGGGAGAGGAGTTTCACGCGAATGAAAGTCAGAAAGCCTTTCTGACACTTTTCATGGAAAGAATTGCAGGGTTTAAGAGCAGGCTTTGGAATCTGATGAAAATCCTGGTTTCATATAAACTCTTAACCTCAATTTCCTTGTTAGTAAAATAGGGGTCACTTTAAAAGACTCTTGTGAGGTATAAATAACAGATATAAGAACCCCAAAAAGTCTCTGGCTTGTAGCAAATGCTCAATAATAAATAATAAAAATTTTATTATTGCTAGCACTCTGGGAGGCTGAGGCAAGATGATTAAAATTCAACCCCAGCTGGGGCAACTTACCGACTTGGCAAGATGCTCAATCAATCAATCATCAATCAAGTGGGGGCAGGGGCTAGAACTTACTGCAAATGCTGTGGGATTCATCCCTAGTAGGGCAAAAGACCAGGTATATATTTAATATATATTTATGCAAATATATATCACTTGACAAAAATGCACCTGTCATTGACTACAAGCAGCAATGGTGCATTCAGAAAAGCACCTCTGAGTTTGTAACTGAGATTCCCTTTGTAGATGGTGGACACTGCGATGGTTTTTAGTGAACCTTTGAATTCAGGCTTCACGTTTAATCTCCCAGATATGTGACAGATCATTTGCCTCCGGGGAAATTAAGTGGTGAAAGGAGACATACCAGATGACTATTGAGTATTTTAAACATAACAAAATCACTTAGAATGTTTTCTGGGAAACTCTTTAGATGCATCAGGCACCATGACCCTTTCCAAGCCCAGCTTCTTGGCTGTTAGATCAGCTGTCATTCATTTCCATCATAATACAACCCAGAAGGGGCATCCTCTATGAGGGGGTGAACACCTTGGACAGCTTTCTCTCTCCCAGGAACTGGATATGAGGCAAATAACTCACCATTGAAAGACTGTCCTCTGCCTTTTCTCAGCTCCTTGGCCAGAACCTCATAAAATTTTAAGAGTTATGGAAAGGATGAAGGTGAAACAAATTTGAAAACCCAAACATACACAGGCTCACACCACAGAGCTGGAGTTCTCACCTAGCCCAGTTTCCTCCTGTCACACGTGAGCACAACAGGATTCAGAGAGGGCTCTCTGCCTGGCCACTCAGCAACTGGTTTGGAAAAGGCAGGAATGTGTGTGCAGCAGACTGGTGCCTGTGGTCGGGTAGAAGCCACGGAGGCCTATTGAGGTGTTCAAACAGAGCTGTAACGACCATGTTTTACAATGCACCTAAACGTGTGCATCTGAAAATAAACATATTCTTTATGGTCCTCACACTCAGCCTGAAGAACTCTCCCTTACCGTGTGGTGAAATATCTACCCGGGCACAACACTCGGTCAAGAGAAGGGATAAAAATGTAGCCATCTCTCCGAGTCCCCCTCCACCTCACCTTTGTAACGAGCCCAGTGAGGTAGAATCAGTGGAGCCTTCAACAGCAAAGCTTTTGGACTCAGGCCAGCCGCCTGCAGTGGGACGGGACTTGATCTCCTCTCCTTTTCCCTCTTTGGAGTTCCCCCTTCATCCTACCTACCGTGCAGCCTCTGGTTCCCTCAGAATTAGTGCAGAAGCGTGAGGAGGAGGAGGAAGAGAACGGAAGGAAGGCCCTGCACACGGTGTGCTTGGTGTACCGTGGGCTCCTCTGCGCTCCGCGCGTGTTTCCTGCTGGCTTGCCCTTTCTCCTTTTCTCTTCTTGGGATTTCTGCCACCCGTGCTTATCCCACCACTAAGAATCTTCCCCATATGCTTCTCTGAGGGACACAAGGGGAAGCTCTGGGCTCCTCTCCTCTCCAAGAAGTATTTCTGTGTCCTTTGCCTGACAGTGTCTGGAGGAAAAGCCACCTGCGCAGCTCCATCTCCTCACCCTGAGGTCGGTGCTGCTGCCAGGCTCTCCTCCTTGGATCTCTCGGGGTATCAGACACCAGGCTGTGGAGCCCTCAGGCCCCAGGATCACAGAGCAACCACATCGAGTGGGCCCACTGACCTCTCTGCCCAGGCCTGCGGGGTCCTGCAGCGCCCCCCCGGGGGAAGTGTTTGCCTCCTGCTCTCTGGAGCCTCCAGAAGCCTTTGTGAGGGTCTCACTCTCCCCTTAGCGGTGCCACCCTCTGCTGTGGGACGTTGGTGGCTCATGGCTGAGGGTCGCAAAGCTCTGTCCTTGACCGTGCTAATCCCACTGCAGGGTTCTTGTGTCTCAGTTTGGAGCAGGGGTCTTGGTTTTGGGGCCTTACCCAAACTGAAATAGAACCCTTTCTGCCCACCTGTTATGACAGTTTTGTTTTATTTTCCTTTCCAGTGGCTTCTACTGTGCTCTGTAGACTACTCTATGCTATACTCAGGAAAAGGAAGGGTAAAGATACATAGGAAAGCCTGTGAGTGAGGACAGGGACCACTAGGTGAGGTGAAGACCATGGGAAGATGACACAGAAGACCACCTAAGCTAATATCCACAGAGCTGCAGCCGTGGATATCCAAGAGGGCCATACTAGCACAGAGAGACCACTAGGAGAATGTCAGCTGCCAAGGAAGAGCCTGGACCTCTCCCTCAGAGTGACCCTTGTGCCGGTGTGTGGAGAGCTGGGGATGGCACACCACAGACCTGCACGGGCAGCTCTTGCCACCCTCCGTGGACTGTCCTTAAAGGTGCAGGAGAATAGCAGGAAATGAACCCATGGAGATTTAGCTGATTGCAAGGAAACTGTTTTCATCCAGAAATCTGGTTTTAATTGAAAAGTTCACCAGCTGGGAACTTTGCAGTGTTCTCACTGTGAGGAATCCTTGCAGAGAGCCAGTGATGGCGGGGGGTCACTTCTACTCTCACAGCCACTTGTACTGTCCTACTAAACGGCCACATCTGACAAGAGATTATTTTTAGCTCGGGGGTCCTCTAAGGACTGTAGAGTCTTTCCAAATTATGTCCCCAAAATATAATACAGATCTTCTGCTGCGAGAGCCCCCAAGCCTTCCTAAGTGCCTTAGCTCGAGATAGGAAAACAAGCGTGTTCTTTCTCCCTCCTCCATCGCGTCTGGTGAGAACTCTATCACCACCCTCCCTCTCTGTCTGTGGACTGAGGTCCCATTCCGTGCCACAGCCTTGGCTCTCAGCGTCTAAGTAGAAGAGGTTTGAATTAAGAAAGTTGTCAGCCAGGTCTGGCCCTTAGGACTACTGTTTGTGTATGGACTTAACAAATGGGCTCTGAGGCAAATGTTGAGTCAGAATGCTGCTTTGAACTGAGTGCCCCACAGGCAGAGGTGGAAATGGAGGTTCTTCAAGGGGTTTTCGGAGTGCGATCTCTTGTGATCTAGGGAGCAGAGGAAGCAGGCAGGACAGGGAAAATGTGATCTCCTCATAAGTACAGCTTTGCCACATCCCACTGGAAGTTTCAGATCGTACCAGACACGGGCGAGCTCGTGGGAGTCTTGCTGGCCTCTGTATTTATAAATCAGGGAGTCAGTGGGCAGGGCGGTGTCGGATAACCTCTGGGTGAGGTGGGTTTCCTTGTCCCAGAGCTGTTCTTTGGAGAAGGCAGCAGACCTGAGGGACGCAGATGCCGGGGGCAGGCACTGCAAGTGTCTTCGTCCCACCAACGGCACTGCCTAGGAACTGGTGAGAAGCACACATTACCGGGCCCTGTGGGGAAACTACTGATCCAGGCGCTCCGGGGCTGGTGTTAACCAACCCCCCAGATGTTGCCGGTGTGCGCGCCAGTGTGAGAATTCCGGTTCTCATCAACACTGCTCTTCTGATGTACCACCGATCCAAGAGCTGCAGGAGAGAGGAAAAGTCCACCAGCTTCACCCTCAAAATGCTCTCCCTATGCTATCAGCCAGCGGCAACGCACTTCTGGCCCCGTGTCCCGACCCCGGGACTCACTAATCCATTCTAAAGTAGAACAGTGGTGTAGCTACCAAGTGTACTGGCAAAAAGAAGGTACCTGAACAGGACATTGATCTTTCCAGCTTTCTAATCTGCAGTATTTGGCCCAGACCTTTGACCACTGGGTTTCTTGCTTACTTCTACTTGTGCTGCCCAGGCGGCTGATTCTCCCCTCTCTTGTAACCCATGTCCGCTGCTCTGAGTGTTTTCACATTCATGAAATGTGCGGCCAGACCACTTGGCTTCCACCCAGAGCATCTGCTATTCTTCCTAGAGTTTCGTTAACCTTTTCACTAGCCTAACACTCAGTTGCAAATGCTCTTCATGAATTTCCTAAGGAAATTGGGCATAGATGTTGCTCTCCCAACCTAGGAAAGTAGAGGATTGTTGAAATTAGAAAATTGTCCGTTATGTTATAAATCTCAGCAAAAAAATGCTACAATATTTTACTTAACAAACATTTTCAACAAAATATTTCATTTCTTGAAATTATTTATGCTTGCATAAGAGACTAAATAAATGCTTCAGAAGGAAAATCCTTCCAAGTAAGAGAAGAAACTGAGAAAATATGAAGAGAAATCAGTTTTCCAGACTGAAAACAAACTCTGTCATATTTCTTCAGTGCAATCATATGATGTCAAAGGTTTTTACTCCTATCTATTTGTCCAGTACTAGTTCATGCCCTAACCAAACTCCTGGGTAAGAACACAGGATAAAATTGCATTCTTTTTCACTTTAAAATGACCTCAAACATAATAGTACTCAGTGTATGAATATTTCTATATACAATCATTTTATTTATTTTTGTTTTTTTTGAGACAGGGTCTCACTATGTAGTTGAGACTGACCTGGAACTCACTATGTAGCCCAGACAGGTCTCAAACTCACTGCGATCCTCCTGCCTCAGCCGCTGGAGTGCTGGGATTACAGGTGTGCGCCACCACACCTGGCCAATCATTTTAAATATTGACCTTTAAACTTTCCAACTGTAGTTTAGAAAGCCAGGATTTCCATCTGACATTCCTCCCAAAAGCTAGGCTAAAATTGGAAGTAGAACAGGTTCCTGAAAACATAATTTCTGAATGGTTCCAAACTTCCTTCCGAGGGGGGAGAAGTTGGATTCTTTAATCATTTAAATATCAATATTATCTTCAAATTTTCTGAAAGAGAAAAATCCATTTGGATTTATGAAGATTACTGGAAACTGTAAGAAAGGGGATGGTACAAAGGAAAATGTGAGCTCAATTTTAATATTTTAAGCGTTTGATTCATGAGACTTGATATTTCTTCTCATATGCAAATATAAATAATTTCAGAAAAATACATTTACAGTGGTGCATCTGTATTTTATATCAGCTTGTGAATTTAAAATTTAAAAGCTTCTGTTCATCAATATTACACAGTAAAATGACTTTTATTTCATCTGAATTTTTGCCACAGTGATTTTTCAAATGTACATCTTCATGTTGTTTTCCTCATTTCTACTGAATGTCGGAATACAACACTTCACACCCCACTAATAAATCATTTTGAACAAAACTTTTTATTGGGCTTCAACAGTCAGTGCAATTTCTTAATTGTCTAACAGAAGAATCCTCATTAACATGGAATGCAAGGACCCCCAGTCCAGTGGAAACTAACTCTGGTTTTTATTTTATTTTTTGAATTAAGCATCCCTTATTTATTTTTCTTTTTTGTTGAGTTTATTGGTACTTTTTAAGTATGCAGTGCAGTTGCATGCATCCCTGGGAGCTTAATTGTGACCTTTTCCTTTCTTAGAGCTCAGCTCCTAAATTACAGCGAGGCTCTGACCTTGACCAAGTACCTCGGCCGGGAGCGGGACTATCTGCCGTGGCAGAGAGCCATCTCGGCCGTCACATACATCATCAGCATGTTCGAGGATGACAAGGAGCTGTACCCACTGATTGAGGTGAGGTCTGACGCTGTGGCATAGCGAAGGGAAGCGATTGCCCACGAGTGGAAGGTTTCCGAGAGGGCGCGGGGTCCCAGCCATTTCCGCCCACCAAGTGCAAGCGCAGGACGGACCAGGGCAGAGGGGCCACCTGCTCTTCCTGCTCGAGGTGTATCCGTGTGCTGTGTAAACGATGCATCTTAGTATCGGGAGGAATACAGCGCTTAATACTTCTTCCAAAACTTAAAGCATTTGGGGCCAAGGAAGTAGCTCAGCGGTTGCCACATCTGCCGGGCAAGGGCAGGGTCCTCAGTTCCATCCCCAGTACCAAAAAAAAAAACCCAAAAACTAAAACGAAAAAAGCAAATTTAAAGCATTTTAAAACCATAAATATCAACTCGATCCTATTTTAACTTATCTCTGTTAAAATGAATTTACTTTTATCAAAATATTACATTATATTTCCTCATTGTTATTGCTATAATCTCCACCTTGGGATTTTATTGATAAGATAGTCTTTGTAAATACTTTTTGTTTTGTTTTGTTTTGTTTTGCTGATTTCTGCAGTGCTTTTGCCGGGCATCTGTTATTTATTTATTTATTTATTTATTTGGTACAGAGGATCAAACTCAGGACCTTGCACTTGCGAGGCAGGCACGGGTGCCATTGAACTAAATCCCTAGGACATTTGTCATTTTTCTTACAAATCTGGATTCGATTCCCTAACTTTCATTTACTAAATGAAAGACCTTGGGACCGTGATTTTATACTTGTGGGTGTTATTTCCTTTATGCAGTGAGGACATGAGTGCTTGCCTTCCTAGGACAATGGGATAACCAGAATCAGATGTTGTAAAAGTATTTTGTAAGTTGTGAATATCAAGTATGTACATTATTTCATCAGTACTTCAACAATATTGTCATTGCCAGAAATATGTTGGTTGTTTTCCTCCTGTTTCATAAGTTAACTAAGAAATGGTAATTGAAGGGCTGACCCCCAGTATTGCAAAACATTAGAGAAGAACCCGGGGTGCCTCTTACCTTCAGGGTAAAAGCAAAACTCCAATGTGATAAAAACTGAATACACTGCTTTCTAAGTCAGGCTCAAAGTTCTCTGAGCGAGCAGGAAAGAAAGATTACCGCCGGGGGTGCAGATTATAGAGACTGGTGACAAGTAGTGAACTATGACTCATGATACCTGTTGCTTCTCTTTCAGGAATACTTCCGAAGCCAAGTGAAGCCCACTGCAGATTCTCTAGGATGGACAGATACTGGTGACCACCTCACAAAGTTATTTTTCATCTTTTTAAAGCTGATTCATTTAACATTTGCTGGTGTGTTTGAAGACATGTAGAAAAGTGCCTACAGCTCCGGCTTTGTTCTCATTTGCTTTTTAAAGGTTGCTCCGTGCCTCTGTGCTAGGCTTCACCTGCAAGATGGGAGACTCGGAAGCCTTGAAAAATGCTTCCCAGTTGTTTGAGCAGTGGCTGACCGGGACTGTAAGGTGACTACTCACTGTTTACTCATTTAAGCCAGACTTAAAACAGAAATAGATAAACCAAATCTCTGAAACACTGTGCCTTCTTCCAGCATTCCTGTAAATCTCAGGCTTCTGGTTTATCGGTATGGCATGCAGAACTCTGGCAATGAGACTTCATGGAACTACACTCTGGAACAGTACCAGAGTACTTCGTTAGCGCAAGAAAAAGAAAAACTGCTGTACGGATTAGCATCAGTGAAGAGTGTTCCTCTTTTGGCAAGGTGAGTTGGTGGGGCTTTGCTTGCTTGCTTTTGGTTTTGTGGTCCTGGGGATTGAACCAAGTGCTCAACAACTTTGATGCACTCCCAGCCTGAGCTGGGTTGTAGCTCACTGATCTGAACTGTATTTAATGTTTATATGGCACAGTCTCTTTAAGAGTCTGACAAACAAAGTGTGATGTCATCTCCAAATTGACCATTCAAAATAATTTTTCCTGTAAGAAACAAGATATTTGTATAAGACTGGCCTAAAAATAAAGAAATTCTAAAAACAAATAAAGAAATATAATCTCACACGAAAATATTCTGGAGGTAGGTAGTCTCCTGTTACGTGCAATGGGTCAACATTTTCATCTAGGACCCAGGCTAGTTCTCTTTCATTCGCCCATGCTCTGTGCATTGGGTGTTTTTTCATTCCAAGCTCCAGACACGTTGTCTTCACACAAAGATGTCCAATGGAGAAAGAACAGGAGCAGAAGAGGTTGTTCTTGCAGGCTCTGTCTTTTATGCCAAGAGGGCAGTTGTCTTCCCTCCTCTGTGTAATCTAGAGCAGAGTCACACTTGATCATTCATCATTCTGGGTCAGAATTCTGGTCTACTGTGAAGAGCATTGGCTAACTAAAATAAATGTGAATTATTTTGACTGGTTTGGGCCAGTTATGATTTTCTGGGGCTGTGGTAGGCGTTTACCTTCTTAGCAGCAGGGATAGCTGATGACCCCAGCAGAAAGATGAACGCTGTCAGCAAAGAAAGAGGAGTGTCTGTGCCAGTGTGCACACATGCGTATACAAATGCTCATGCACACGCATGTTTACACTCTGCAGAGGCCACTTCACACCCACCAAGAATCTTTTCCCACTGCACACCTGTGCCACCTGTGCCCCAAATCATCGGGCCTTGGTTTCTGAATTGTTCACTTCATTTATCTGACGCTTATGATGCCCCCCATCTCTATATATAATAAAAGTGATTAAAACATGATATCTAACCTTGAGAAACGTGTAACTTTCTGATAGGCAGAATGTAAACATTAAAGTACAATTTGAAAGTACGAGAAGTAGTTTGCTTTTACCTAGCAGGGTCAACAATACACCTTCCCACTCTAACCCGGTGCTGTGTCTGTTCTACTTGCTCTTGCAAAATAATCCATCAAGAACATGATAATCTTAACATCACAGGTTATTTTATTAATATTTACAATTTTATGTTTTTATGTATCACTTAAAATTAATTTAGATTAAAAATTAAATCACCTTTACACCCAGCAAAACATTACACTGATCCATTAGTGTATAGCACTGCACTAATTGTATCTGGTAAGGAAATTAGAAAGTACTTCTGATGCTTTAGTAAGGATCTTGCGAACTAAAGTGCAGGGGATAGATTGCAGAAAAATACAGAAGCCCACAACTTCAGTTCCATTTCTGGAAGCTCTGAAATACTCCCTCCAAGACAAAAAGGCAACTTTTTGCCCTTTCATTAACTCCCACAAAAATTTTATTTTAGTGGGTATAGTAAGATTTTCTAAAAGTTTGAGGCAACATATCCACGTTTGAGTGTGTTATTCCAACAATTTAGAAAACTGTCCATTTTGAGTCATGGCCAGAGCAAAACAGAGCTCTGCAGTAAGACCGGCTGCCTTACAGCTTCCCTAGAATTCTTCTTTTATCAGAAACCTATGATAAATACGCTTAGTGCCGTGTCGGTGTAAGATGACATGCTCAAATGCCAGTACAGAAGAGGTCGCATCTTCACTTCCTCTGTCCTGTTCCAAGAGTTCCACAGAGTTGGGTGCTGAGCTCTAAGGTGGGGAACAAGGGATATGATCTTTGTCTCGCACTCTTTAAATTTAAATACTGCCAGTTTTTAAATTGGTTGTTAAATTAGAAATCTAGTTTAAATAGCCTCTGGGGGTAAATGTCCAGTCTTCTAGAGTCCCTTTCCTTCCCCACAATTCTCCTTTACAGGATGACACAAGTCACCTTGTAGTGACAGAGAAAGAAATGTGTGGTCTTTACTGGCACTGCCTTCAGTACTTAAGTATTTTGATCCTGGGCCAGATTCCACTGAGTCGTTATTGGTCATATTTTACCTGCTTGAAGACTATCTAGCAGAGATGAAAGTTGTGGTCCTGGTTGTTTTCTCTTGCTCATGAAGTACCTCTGCTGTGGGGCGCTGTTGTCTTCCCGGAAGCTTTTCAGCACCCGACATCTCACTAAGCTGAACAACCATCTCAGTCCCCAGAGGAACCGGGATCTTACCTGACACCCACTAATGTCTTCAACTCATTTGCCCAGGATATGCTGTCTGTCTCCCACACCACGATGGACGTAGCACAAAAGTGGAAGCTGAATGGAGGGCTCCTCTCTCAGGCCCAGGCACAGTGGTGTTTCCCATTTCCTCATTAGCCTGCACTTACCTTCAAGCTTGAGCTTTTCCCAGTCTTTCTTGGGATAAATATCTATGTCAAGTACGCTAACCTGGCTCTTGATGTATTAATAAAACAAAAGAAATGTGGAGATACCTCTTGTCTTTGGTGAGGGCTGCCTCTCAGAACTGTCTCCCAATGCAAGTTACACAGTGGTCCTTTTGTTGAAATTATCATCTCTCACCCAATTAAGGGTATGAAGGGTGCAGGCCAGTGTGGGGGAAGCCACAGAGCAACAAGACAAGAGCATGAAAATACATCTGATTTATCAGCAGCAGGTGTCTATCCTGCTGTACCCTTCTCATAGCAAATAAATTATGGACTAGTGTTATTTGGGGACATTTCTCTAATGACAGTATATACTACTGGAGGGTCTTGGGCTAGAAATGCAACTCTAGAAACAACCAAGACACAAATTTAATAGAATCTATTTTGTCATTTAAATTATCCTGGATCTATTTGCAGTATGCTACAGTCATAGCCAACTAATTTAATCACATACATTATATGAGGTTGTTTTTTTACAATAGGGGAAGAGCAAGGAAAGTTTGTTGTCTTATAGCAAAACAGTACAACTGAGTTTTCTTAATTTTCAAATGCTTTTTCTTCAGTGGGATAACAGATAAATGAATAAAGTGCTTCTATTTAATAACCCTTATTTTAACAAATCAGTCCTTAAAACACAGTATTTTTAAATTGTTTTAATATTTTAATGTTCCTGTAGATTATACTTTACTAGTCCTCAAAACCATAGGACATTTTTTAGAGACAGATCTATATATTACAAAATTTTAAATCATCTTTCACCATTTGTCACAGTTAATTCACTTTGTCATTTTATGCCTGAAGAATTAAATTGCTGGAATGAAGACTATTTAGGGCTGGAATTTAGCTAATGGTGAACATTAAAAGTTAATTTTGAATTGTTTTTCTGTTTGCCTCCTCTTAGGTATTTGGATTTGCTCAAGGATTCAAACATCATTAAAACTCAGGATGTGTTTACAGTCATCCGCTATATCTCCTACAACAGTTACGGGAAGAGCATGGCCTGGAACTGGGTACAGCTGAACTGGGACTACCTGGTCAGCAGGTGGGACAGCAATAATGGTCTATTGTCTTCTCTGTTTGAGACCATCTTCGAGCGCCTTCCTTTTCTCTTTAGTGTACTTTCTCTGGCATATGTACAACACCCAAAGTGGCATATGACAGAGGTAAAGGATCGTGATATTTTCTTGCCAGGGAAACAAGTGCTAGTTAATTTTAGGCACAGTTGTTTTTCTAGATGTTATTGTTGCCAATTGAACTAAAGGATCCTGAAATCCAGAGAGATAACTAAATTCCTCTCTTGCGGGGCTTTGATTAAAACAAGTGAATATTATTTTGCCTACCACGGTAGGACTTAGCACAACGCCAGGCACATATTTAGTTGTCAGTTAATGTCTGATGAAATGGAAATAAGAATTGCTGGACTTGAGCTCCAATCTTAGACCTGTACCTTACTGAGCTCATAGGGGTGGTGACACTTACCTTTCCTGACCAGATGCTTCAGCTGTTAAGTGCCCTGAGGAGTCCTGGCAAGGGAACTGTATTTCCTAAGCAGCAGCAGCAGCAGTAGCAGCAGCAGTAGCAGCAGCAGCAGCAGCACCGGGTGGGGTGTTCTGTTTTTTGGTTTGGGAATTTTCTTGTGTGCTCGTCATTGGATCTGAGGCCCTGCTCTCAGAAAGCATGTGCTTTACCCCATCTCACGCCTGGCAATCGCAGTCTTAAAATAGGAAATGGGAGAAGAGAAGAGAAAAAAAAAATTGATGAAAAAGATGCTTTTCCAAATTTCTTGTTTCTTTGGCCCGTGCAGAAGAAATACTGCTGTTTTGGGTTCTAGTCCTCTAAATATAATGCTAAATTTCTATTAAAAAGGCATTTCTTTGACAGGGTAGAAAATAGAATAAATACCTGTCCCAAGTAAATGTGTAAATATTGATGAAAAGATCTTTACTGTCTGTTTCCCTCGCATTAGGAAACAGTTTATGTTATCTTTCCTAACCTCCCACCCATCCTGAAGCCCAGCCTCTGTGATACTGACTGCCTTAAGGGAAATGCTAACTACAGCATAAACGTTCATATTTTTTTCTCTGTTCTGCCCTTCAGTTCATCATTGCCACTCTGTCCGCCTGTCCGTCTGTCCGTCCGTCTGTCTGTCTGTCTATCTAACTATATATGTATATTTTTGTACCATGGATCGAACTCAGGCCCTTGTGCTTGCAAGGCAGGCCCTGGAACCGCTGAGCTAAATTCCTGGCTCGCTATTTATATTTTGTTTCCTTCTGAGATCCACACTCTATCTCTGACTCTCAGCCAAGATAGTCTACACTGTTTTTGCCTCCTTGTGATAGATATTTCTCTTCCTGTTCTTGTGACTAGCAAGTGTAGCTATTTATTCATCTCTGGCATTGGCCAGTACAGCACATACACTTGTACCGCTACTTTGTTTCTAATTATTTCCATAGAACACTTCCTTACGAATGAACAGATGTACCTATAAGAAGTGCTATAGGTGTAAGCGTTCATTCCTACCATGTAAGGTAACATCCTCTACTTTGAAATCCGCATGCTGAATGACATGCACTCTGTTTCCTTTTAGCTGGAAGGTCACAAAGCATCTTTTTATGGTGTGTGCTGAAAGACACCTATGTGAACATTTGCTTTTGAATTATTGGGAAAAGACAAGTAATATTTTATTTTGCAAAATAAAATGAGTATTTGCTAACAGAGCATTTTTTAAGGCCTGTTTGGATAGGATTGGTCTAATACAATTTTCATTTGTAAAAAGGAATTCTTTATTATGCTTTAAAAATTAAAAAGTTAAAAAAAAAGACTTTTTTACCTCTTCTCAGAGGCCATAAATATCTGGCCTTAAAATCAATGAATTAGCCTTAGTGAACTGAAGTTTTTTCAAGGAAAATCAATTGATAAAACATTTCCAGCACTAGTTCCAAAAGTCTTGCCACAGGCTTTTATTATTTCCTCATAGTGTAGTGACTTCACTTTCATAAATTATTTCACATGACCCCAAACAAAATTATGTAATAACCACATGTCTGACAGCTACACAAAAAAAATCAATATTAGGTTTTATTTCAATAGATAGAATTTTCCCTATGAAAAATTGTATAAGACAAATTAAACTGAAATGAGCCTAGCTTTATTCAAGTATTTCCAAACTCTCGAACATTTTCTGAATTACTGGATGAATAGTTTTACTGCCTAGACTTCTGAACAGTTTATTGCCACCCAAAAGTAAACAAGCTGCTTTTTAGTAAAACTCTGTTACATGATTTTTATGACAACTCCTCACCATTCCACTGATGTTTTACCATTCAAGCCTTAACCACAGAGTCCCAAAGATACCTTGGAAATCATTTTCTAGTTTTGTTTCTTTTACTAAAGTCTCAGGTGAATCTATGAAAGTGAATGAACCCAGTAAGTCAGTAGTGTTGTGTGTCAGGTTTGATTTTGGTTTATGACTACTGATGAAAAATCATCAATAACTTTGACTTAATGAATATGATAGAAAACAATTTAAACACTGGGTCATAAAATAATTCAATATGCACTCGAGTAAAAGTTTTGTGTGCATCCAAATAATTTGTCTTACATAAATATTAAGTCCAAGAAGATAATTTTACATAATTTTTCAAATTAAGATAATCAAATAATTATTTTAGTTTTTGAAATAACCAGTATAATAAATACACAGCACATTCCCCCCTATTTTTTTCTGCACTTGATATACTTGTCCTGTGGGATGAACATGTTTTGTTCTGTCATTTATATTATCCATACTGGTAGTGTCAGTTTTTCTACAATCTATTCATTGCTAGTTCCCAAGCAGCTCATTTATTTTTTGTCACTAACAACAAAGCAGAGAGAAATGTTTTTTAAATTTTTATTAGTCCATATTTGCAGTACATAATTATTGCATTCATTGTGCAGAATGGAAACATGTATAACCCATGTCAATTCTTTTTTAGCAGAAATAGTATAGAAATTATAGGCCATTAAAATTGTATTACATTGGTGTGTTTTGCCTTTTAAAACTCGTATATTCTTATATTAAACTGTGTCATTTTTTGCGCAAAACATAGACAAATAATAATCAAAATAATTACTAAAATACAATCACCTAAAAAGAAATCTCTGTTTTCACCATTTTTCCTCAAGTAATTTTTCTATGGCCATTCATTTATTTTACGGAAATAGAAATATATGTATGCATTTATAATTTGCCTTTTTTCACACATATAATTTGGATATCACACTGTGTATTGTGGGTATCTTTTCAGGTTTTTATGTTTCTTTTTTTCCTTTTATTATAATTATTAGCACATATTAATGGGACAGTATAGTGAGTCTCTTGATAACATTTTCACACATGCACATAATACACCCCAATGTATGAACCCTCCTTCCTACTCTCCCTTATGCTCTTCCCCGTTCCCCTCCCCTGTCCCTAACAGTGCCCCTTCTGCACTTATGTCATCTTCTTTTCTAGACTGAAATAACCTCCCTCAGTGTTGTCTGTGCTGGCCGAGTAGCATTTCCGTGTGCGGATCAGTCTCAGTTTACGCAGCCCGTCTCCATTACTGACAATGCCATTGTTCCTCCCTACTGTGGGCAATGAATCGAGGAACTGCACCGTTGATGCTGAGTCTCTTTGTTCACTTGAATGCCCCTGACAGTGACTTCAGGATAGAAGGAGCACTGGATGGAATGGTGCTGGCTTAAATAGCATGTTCATTTTCAGGGTTTCTGATAGATGGACAAAAATTACCCAGGAAAAATTTACTAATAACTGCTCATTGTCCCAACCTTTTCTATTACTTAGCACTGTCATTTAAGCAATCTCGTTAGTGTAATAGATAAAAGCTAATATCTCATTTTAATTCTTTCACCCAGCAAAGTATGTGGAACATCTGCTGTGTGCAGCATGGTAAAGGGCCTTGCAGAGGCTAGAATAAGGAGGAGCCTCCCAGTTCTCTGTCCTGACAGAGCCTAGAGTCCAGTAATGGAGCCCAGCGTAAGGAGAGCATGCCAATAAGAACCTGTGCACTTAAAACTACAGTAACTGCCAACAGAAGAGCTTCAGGGTGCACTGAGCTGACTAGAAGGGACGCTGACTGAGGGCCAAGAGGGGAGGCGCAGGTCCTTCAGGAGGGGATGGGTGAACTGAGGACGAGCAGAAGTGAATTAGGTGCTCAAGAAGAAGTGAAGCGTTCCTCGCTGAAGATCTGTCAGGAAAGGGAAGAGACAGAGGAAGGCTAAGAGTGCAGTCACGTCAAAATGTAGGCTTTGTTCCAAGAGCAATGTCACTGATGGCTTTTAAATACGAAGGCGAAGTGATCCATTTTATTTTTAAAAGAAAACTGGGGTAAGGTGACCTGGTGAAGGGGAAAAGCAGTTCGCTCGTGCGACAGTTCCAGCAAAAGGCAGGGGCTGACTGGCATATGTGCGTGAAGGTGAAGATGGAGAGACGGCGATAATGTTTGGGCCTGGGTGGCAGGTTGGAAGTGGGAGATGATACTCGAGTGGCGAGGGTACTGCCCAGGGCGTGGTTTCTAGGAGGCTCGAGAGGACGGTGTTCTCTGTGCGGTGGTTGGTTTCTCTTTGGAGGGGTGAAAATGGAGATCATTTCAAGGAGACCATAGTCTCTGTTGATCTGGGTAAACTGAAGACCAGAAAAGGTCCGCTGGATTTACAGACTTAGAAGCTTTTCAGTGGAACAGGAGAAGCAGATCCCAGGGAAGCCAAGTCCATACAGGACCGGGGAGCGGCGCTCTTGAAAAGTTTCGCTATGAATTGGAGGCCAGAGAAAGATGCTGGATCAAAGAAGATTTTCTCCTTTTTATATAGGAAATATTTTGGTATACCGAATGCACTTAAATGCCGATGAGAAAGATCTGATGGAAAATGAGAAATTTAATGTGTAAAACAGGAAAAACACTTTTAAAATAAGATGTTTAAGAAAGGAGGAATAAAAGAGCAACCAAAGCACGGTGAAAGGAGGAAGACAGGATGTTTGTGTGTTTTTAAATTTATTATGCATTTTCTGTAAGAGGTAGAAGGCAAGGACATCCCGAGATTGGGGGAGGAAGAGGCAAAGTGGAGTTTGAAATGCAACGAAAAACTTTCTTAATTCAAAAGAAGCACAGTAACCGGGCAAGGTAATGCACGAGGATTATCAGTGTGAGGGTCCGTTTAAGATGCAAGCCCGTGTGTTTATAATGAAACAAAGTGGGGTGTTCAGTGGCGTCCCTTGACAATCTGACCACCTGGGACAACTCAGAGAATGGGCATTTTATCTCATCCAAAACTGAGGCGTTGCCAGACAGAAATTATCATAATGCCAGGGGGTTTAGGGTTAGGGCAAACATGTTATGAAGATGGTTAGGTCATGGTATCTAAACTAGGTAAAGAAATGAATGAAAAAAGGAAAAGCTGATGTCTAGGACAAAGTAGAAGTGGGGATGATGATGGCTCAGAAAGCTGGCTAAGTCCAGGAGTGGACATGGTGGAGCCTGAAAGATATATTACATCACGGATGACACATAAACCTACGATTTCAGATACACATTGCTCCTAACCCTTGTCACAAATTATCATGGGAACTGGGTGGCTGAGGTCGAGCCCAGGAGCACGACTGGAAATGAGGTCAGGAAACTGAGGCGCTGCCGAGTTTGTTAGACTGGTCATCCATGTGACCCGGAAATCCTCCACGAGGACGGTGTGCCTTGGAGGGAGAGAAGGGGTCCAGATGCCAAGTACATCTGCCGTGAGAGGGGAGACCCAGAAGGAGCAGAGGTCTGCTCCGGGGGTGGCGGAGCGATGGCCTGGGAACGGCAGTGGTGGGTGGGGAAATCAGCATCCTCTGTGTGGGAAATGAGCCGCCTGCAGGCCAGGTGAAGGACCTGGGAGGCAGCCTTGCCTGTGCCTCAGAGTCACGTTCTGGGGAATGGCTGGTGGACTTAGGGATGAGAAACAGGTGGATTTAAATTCGGGGGTGTCTGTGATAAGAGGGAGCACTGGACCCAGGGCACAGAGGAGCATATATGGTCACCGCAGAGAACATTTTGTCTTCTCCCCACCGGCACCTTTTCTTCCCTCTGCTCATTTCACATTGGCATTTCTCCTTTTTTACCTTTCTAGAGTAAAAATATGTACTCTTTATTAGAAATGGTACAATGATTTCCAGCGAGTTAGTTTCTACTTCTAATTTTATTTGAATTTCTTTTTAGTATAAAACTTTTAAATCTGTACAAGACAAATTATCAGTTTTTAATCATCATAGTTTTTTTTTTTTGCTTTTGCTATAATATTTAAATGTTTTACCACTTTGCATCTATATATATTTTCCTGTCTCCCTTTTCAACATTATGGTGGTCAAATTTTATACCCAATTCTGTGACTGGCTGTGATTAGATCGACACCCACTTACCTTATAGTCTATAAGAAAACTTTGGATTCTTATTCTTTAAGAGACAATATGCAGGTGCTTGGGATGTTGCTCAGTGGCGACTTGCTTGCCTGGCAAGCACAAGATCCTCAGTTTGATTCCCAGTATTGGAAAGAGGGAGGGGGATATGAATAAGCAAAAAAGACAGGAAAAAACATCATCTCTAAAATTCTACCATGATCTATTGCTAAGAACTGGGTCAGGTGTCTCGCCCAGTTGTGAAGCAGCCTGAGAAACACACTTTCTAGCTGAGTGCTCAGGTATGCAGGAAAAGAGAATATATTTGGAGAATTCAGTGAACCATCTACTACATCTGAGGAAATGGTGTGATTTGGTCTTCAGAAAGAAGGACAGAATTTACCAAGAATTTCTCCTGAATGGAATTATTTTAAGTTAAATGTGTTTTCTTGCTGTGTTTAGCTTACTTTGAAAATTACATTAAGCACACACACACACAATAAAAAGGAAATATTTGTATGTAGGAAGAGATTTAAGGTTCCAGGCACTTAGGGTTCCGCTTATGCCTCTATATTTCTTTCCAGATTTACGATCAATAACAGAAACCTGGGCCGGATTGTCACGATAGCAGAGCCGTTCAACACAGAATTACAGCTCTGGCAGGTAGGAAGAGAATTCCTCTCTGCTTATCTAGAAGGAAACATATCAAACTTATTTCTGAAACAGAAATGCTGTTTGTTCCATTCAGGTCACAAAAGACAATGAGAAACAAATCTTTTTTTAAGAAAATAAAAAACATACCCATTCTTTCTAAACTAAAAAAAAATTCAAATGAACAAGAAACAAAATTTTAAAACTGGGGAAGGAGACAGTCGGGGATGCCTGGAAACCGCTTGGGCACCAAAGCATGAACACTGTGCCTCCCCCTCCCTGGTAATTGTAACTCTAGAGTACACTCTTCAGGGTTTGATTCCATTCAAAACTCAGAGTTTTGGAGTTTCCAAACAAATTCCAAATCTGAATTTCCAGGAAGGAAACATGTCCATTTGTGTTTGACAAGTAGAGAGTGCATGAGACTTTGGTGTTGGTTAGACATTGAAACATTAAGATTCTTGCATTTGTTAGGAAACAAAATAAATGTTATTTCTGTAACTGGCAAGCAATACTATGGTTAGTTTGAGAAGAGTTTTGGAGGATAGAAAGGAGGATAGGACCAAGTTGAACAAAGATTTTTTTAAAATGCATCTTTTGTAAGTGAACTGGATGCATTTAAAAATACCCCAGATTCCTAGAGAGAAAAGGTAGGCAAAACCATCATCCCACAGGCCACAATTTCCAGAGAACAAACAGATAATAGAGAGATGAGCAGGAGCAGAAATGGGTACCCAGCACTCTCCCCTCTGCCGCTCACAGGCCAGGCTTCCATTGGCTTGGCTGGCCCAGCGCCTGCAGGACTGCTCCTCTGAGATGTGGGCTCTGTCCCAGCGCTGCTCCGAGAGGCATGGCTCGGTGTTGTGTGGTGACCCTGGGCTTCCACTGGAAAGGGGAGCAAGTCCCTTTAGGCAAAGGTCTTGAAGAAGAGCAACTGGCCTTAAAACAACATCCTTAATTATTTCCTTCTCTTTTCTAGATGAAGAGTTTTTTTGAAAAATATCCAGATGCTGGAGCAGGAGAAAAACCTAGGGAACAAGTCCTGGAAACAGTGACAAACAACATAGAATGGCTTAAGCAAAATAGAGACGCCATAAGAGAGTGGTTTTCTAATTTACCCAAGAATGGTTAATGTGTCCAAATGCCATTTTAATTTTGTGACTGTTGTTTCTCCTATTAAGCAAAACATTAATTTTCCAGCACTGCACGGGAGCCTGAAAAATGATGCTGCTTTTGCTAAGTGCTGTGTTGATGTCTTGCAAAGCTTTTAAATTGTTCTTCTTTGTTTATGAAGGAAGATACTAATAGAGTATTTAATATACTCAGGGATTTCTTCTAAGTGTACTTCATAGGAGATGATTTTCAAACTGAAGAGAATTTAATAGTTATTTTAATGTCTTTAAATATCATTCTTTGTATCTTAAATCTGTGAAAATAGAACAATTTGGTCTTAGCTTTACATTTTTAGTACCAAAGAAACACCACTTAATCTTCTCCCTTGATTGATTTTTAAAGTTTAAATATCAGTACTTGAGGGACATATTACCATCTTAATCTTTATTTTATTATTCTGAATTACACAGACCTAATATCATCTTATTCACATATGTCTTACTGCTTTAAATCCTACCAAAGTAACCTGGGCTTAAGTTTTGCTGGAGGACTGCATGAATTAGCCAAGGAAATGGCTGATTGTTGGCTTTTCTTTTATAAAATCAACAAGAGAACTCTTCATTCTTTTCAAAAATAAATCTAAATTATTACCTTGAAAAATGTTTTACAGTGTCACTTTCTCCTAAATAAATGTGACAGTGGCATTCCCTAAAAAATTTAGCAAGTCACATCTCTGATTCGAGAAGCTGGCCTTTTTTTGTGCCTGGGACTTTCTCATCTTACACCTATCCCTTACAAAGCTCCTTCAAATATGCTATCAAATTATAGGGAACATAGTGCTTAACTGTGCTCCACGGATTTTAGAGGAAAAAAGATAAATAATTGGAAACTTTTCAGGAAAGAGATGGCAGACTGTTCCATAAAGCTAAATGGAATTAGCATTTCACTTTGACCTCACCTAGCAATCTGAGTGTGAAAATAGGGAAATTTATGGAAGTCTATAGCATGGCTCAGCATATTTCTTATAGCTGGGTTTTACATATAAACCCTTAGATCCTCATCCACACAGAACAGCACCGGTCACGTTTAAATGCACGAGTCCGTTCAAGACATCCATTTCCTACACACTGGTGGCCAGAGCAGGTTTACTGTGGCCCTTGATGCCCAACAGATCCACAATGTAAGTCCAGGCAGGAGAGAAATCTCAATTTATATAGCCTCTTCAGAGCTATAGGGCAATTTAGGGCTGGCTTGCTGAGAAACAAAACCAATGGGTACAGTTACAATCTTGGCGTCCACTTTGTACAAGCACAGTCACTGGCTGGGAAACTGTGTCAACTTTCCTATCTCTGTTTCTTATGACTTCTTGATCCACACAGCTAAACTAGTGAATTCAAATGAATGCAAAAAAAAAAAAAAAAAAAGATAAAAAAAAAATTTCCAGGCAGATGTTTTTTAAACATTATTTTAAATTATTTCAAAAGCAAAAAGAGTTAGATTTCCTCAGTCATCAGGAAGATGCCACTGGCTTCGTGGAGCTTGACATCCTAGCTTCAGATTCTGAGCCCATCGGGGGGAGCCCTGGTGGCCGATACACTGCTTCAAGTGGACAAATTAAGAAGGGAGTGGTTTAGGCCTCCGTTTATGAAATGAACTCTTCAAAGAAATATATATGAGTTGGAGGGATGATAAATAAGGTGGCTCCCGGCTGGTCTCCTGGTCATTCTGTCTCCTTCCATTTTAAACATAAAGCTGAGAACGAATTATCGAGTTCTCTTCCCCACAGTGAAAAGAAGAGCTGGATTTCATCCACTCAAATTCCTCACCAAGTACTTCTCAAGCAGAATCTGGATTTTTAAAAGGCTTCGCACCCACTACGTAGAGCTACTTCTTGTCACAGTTTTCATAGGGGGGAAATTCTACTGAAGTTGCATGTAAGTCTAGCGCTTTTCCATGCCTAGCTTGTGCAGAGAAATGGGAGTTAGTGATGGATGTAACTGTAGGCAGACGCGTCCGGGCCATCGCCTGGTTTGCCCTGCTCTGTTTCTCTCCTGCGACCACATCCAGCAGGGGTTCAGGCAGAGGCAACTCTCTTAGCTCGAATTCCAGGATTAAAAAGAACAAACCCGGAGCAGGACGCAGCCAACCCACAGCACACTACACTATGAGTGGGAATTCGCCTTTGCCGTCGTAGATCAGTGAGGCTGTGCGGCTGTCCGTTGTCGGAGAATAATCCAGCCTAACCCGATGCGCACAACACACACGTGATCTGTGCCATCGTCACTTGCTTCCCATCCCGTCCGCTATCCTCGCTCTGCCTCCGGGCTCAGCACACTCCTGCCAGCCTGTTTCCGTAAGGGCTGCGCACGAGTCAAGCCGTTTCTGCATCTGTAAGTGGTTGGAAGAAATCAGAAGTAGAGCCCTGGATCGTGACATGAGGACCGCACCAAATTCCAACGGGATTCATTGCGCACCACACACATTCAGTGCTCATCGGCTGTGGCTTGCCTGCCTGCTGCAGCACTGGGGTGAACCGTTGCAGTACAACCTGATGGCCTGCAAGCCTGAAATATTTACCATCCGGCCCTCTCCTGAGCGACACTAGGCAGGTTCATGCCGCAAAGGGGTTTATTTAGCTCCGATTTCGCTTTTGCATCAGCTCAGCTCTGGTGAGGACTTCATGGCAGGCGACAGCACAGAGCCACGTGTGGCAGAGCTCTTGTCACCGGAGGGCAGGAGCCAGGCCGTCTCTCGCTCGCCGCCCAGGGGAAGCACGTGAGCCCTTTCCACGTCTTGCCCTCACCGACAACCAGCTCCCCCTGGGACCACCTAACGGGCCCCACCACTCCTGCTGCCACCACACCACAGACCAAGGTTCCACCACCCAAGTCACCAGGCACACTCGATGCACACCTTGTACGGACCATGTTCAAACCGAACACGCAGGGAATTAGGAACGTCCACACCGCGAAAAGGGCTCGAGGAATAGGAATCAGAGGGCTGGTGCCAGCCTTCCCATGGCCTGTCCCTGTCCCTTATGGGTCACGTCTAGCCTGTCCCCTACGAGTCTCAGGCCCTCCTGGGTGGGCTGTGGGCCTGGAATGCGAGGCCTCCTCTCCGGTAGGGGGTGGGATGCACTTGGAAGTGTCGGGGAAGGGGAAGGCCTTCTCTCCCTCCTCATCTGCTCCCTTCACCCTCAGCTTCCTGGCTGCCATGAGGTGCGCAGCCTCCTCACAGCCGCTGACTACGGGAGGACTGAAGCTTCTAAAACGCAAGCCCAAATAAGTCCCTCCGGCGTGAGTTGCGGACGTCGGGTACGTTTTCTCAGGGACAAGGAAAGCAGCCAGGACACTCTTTCCGATCTGGAGATCACGAACTCCCAAGGTCACACACACAGGGATGCAGGTTCTTCCCTGCCTCTCCCCGTCTCACGGAGTGCACTCCCTGTGGGGCTCAACGGCACGGAGTCAGGAAGGTGGTCTCTGCCACCCCGGCCCCGCAAGACCTGCTGGGCCGTGAGGGTGGTGGAGACGCCCGTGGGGACGGCCGTCACAGCCTAAGCCCCGCCACCGAACCTTTGCTCAGCTTCACCTCACTAGGACCCCCGCTGTAGGAAGGGTCGCCCCTTCAACAACTGGCGCTGGAAAAGCTGGGCTTCAGCCTGCCGAAGATTAAAACTAGACCCCTGTCTTTCCCGTGTACTGAACTAAAATCGAAGTAGGTCAAAGATCTAAAGAAAAAAATGAAAAATTGGAAACAAAGTCTTTGCAAACAGGGAAGGGTGAAGGGGGTGAAGGGAGGACAGGGGAATGGGGATAAAATAAAAACCAAGATATGTTCTGTAAAGGTACAAGATCCCAATGATGAATGTAACTATTGTTTGCATTGAATGTGCCAATAAACTTAATGGGGAAAATCTAAATATCAAACCAGAAACACCAAACTTGCAGGAAGATAAGCTAGGTAGAACTCTCAAAGACACTGGCATAGGAGAAGACTTTATGAACAAAACCTCAGTAGCATGGGAACTAGCACAAAGAATCAGCAACCAGGATCTCACCTTATTAAAAGGTTTCTGCACTGCAAGAGAAACCACCAACAGAGCCAAGAGACAACCTACCACTTGGGAAAAAAAAGTTTACCAGCTGTTCCTCAGACAAAGGACTACTATGCAGAATATAGAAAGAACTTAAAAAAATCAGACCTCCCAAATTTAAAGACCCAATCCAAAAATGGGCATCTGAAATGTACAGATATTAAGAGCAGCAAATAAATATATGAAAAAATGTTCAACATCACTGGTCATTTGAGAGATTCAGATGAAAACAACACTGATATTCCACCTTACCCCCAAAAGAATGGCTGCTATCAAGAAGTCAACCAATAACAAATGCTGGCAGGGTTGTGGGGAGAAAGGAACCCTTCTCCATTGTTGGTGGGAGTGCAGACTGGTGCAACCACTGTGGAAATCAGTGTGGAGATAACTCAAAGAACTAGGATTAGAGGTCTCATTTGACCTAGCTATACCTCTGCTGGGTATTTTCCAAAAGGATTAAAAGCATCATACCATAGTGACATATTCACACCCATGTTTACAGTGGCACAGTTTGTAATAGCTAAAACTTGGAAACAGCCCAAGTGCCCACCAACTGGAGACTGGATGAAGAAGATGTGTGAGTGTTTTTTTTTAAATAAAGTGGAGTACTACTCAGCCACAAAGAATGGGAAACTAGAGACATTAATAGCTAAATGGATGCACATTGAAGCCATACTCTTTAAGTGAAATAAATAAGACACACATATGTAAATATTGAACAGTTTCTCCAGTGTGAGAAACTGAAAGCGTCAATGAGGATCAAAATGTATAACAGAGAATGCGAAACAGGAAGGAAAGGTCTAAAAGGGAAGGGGAAGTGGGAGTAGGAGAAAGGAAAGGGAAATGAAAATCTGGAAACAAAACCTTTTTAAAATGGGAGGGTGGAGGGGTGAAGGGAGGGCAGGGAAATGGGGAAAAAATACGAAGCAGAACTCATCATGTGAAGGTACAAGTTCCCAATGATGAATGTCAGCACATTGCATGCCTAAACTGCACCAATAAACAATGAAAAAAATACTGAAGGGCTTCTCACTGCAGCACGAGGGCAGGACACTGCTTGCTGACCTGAGCCAACTTTTCCTGTCCCCTTTTCGTCTCGTCCTCCTCCTTTTACCCTTTTTGCGGGGTGGGCACTGGAGACTGAATGCAGGGCTTTGTGCATGCAGAGCACGTGCTGCACCTCTCAGTTATGCTCCCAGCCCCTCCATTTCCCCCCACCTCATTTCTTTTTGTTTTCTAAAACCATTTACCAATCTAGAACATGAAATAGGGTTTTACTGTAAGCAGAAACATTAATTCTGTGGCTGCATGAGTGAGGGCCTCATCAATGGCCATGGTTCATTTCTGTGCCAGTCTAGCTGGGCCCCAGGCATCCAAATGAGGCACTGCATTTGCCTGTGCCCGGAGTGGTTGGCACCTGAGGCGGAGGGATCAGGGAAGGATACTGCCCTCTCCGGGGGTGGCTGCCGGCAGTGCCTCGACGGTCTGAATGGCAGACAATCGGGGAAGAGGACGCCCTTTTCTGCCTGACTGCTCAGCCAGGCGCATTTTCTCATCTGTCACGTGCTCATCTGTACATATCTACACCTTCAGCTTTTCTCCGTCTCAGACCTCCAGACTTGGGCTGAATTTCACCACTGCCTCTCTGGGTCTCCGGATCACAGAGGGCAATTTGTGAGACCTCTCGTCTCTGTGATCACATGAGCCAGTTCCTCATAATCTCCTTTATATACAGCTCCATCAATGACCTGAGAATAATGCTGAAGGGAGCAGGTGAAAATACAGGAAGGGAAAATGTTTTTTATATGAAGCAAGACACTGTAATCCCAGTATTCAGGAGGCTGAGACAGAAGGATCTCCTGGGCTACATAGTGTGTTCAAGGCCAGCCTGAACTACAGAGTGAGACCCTGCTTCAAAAAGAAAGAAGCGATACAAAGCAGATCACCTAAAGGATGCTGAGCAGTCAATTGAGCCACATCTCATGGTAAACTATGCATTTTAAGTGCCTGGGGAGAAATGTAATTTTTATGATAGGTAGCAATGCAAAAATTGATATATAATACTTTTATATGAGAAAGAGAGTCTTAAGATACAAAGCCGCATTGTACATCTTTGAATCTCTCTTTCCTGAAAGGCACACACTCATCTAATGAAATGAACATGATGATTTGAAGATGGAGTAAAGTCCAGAAGTAAAGACGGGAGCAGCAGCTGCAGTGAACACTTAGACCTTTTCCCCTTCTCTCTACGAGTGTAGTTTTGTAGCCAGGATTCCTCTCAACTGAAGGGTTGCTCTCTCTGTTCTTCTCCTAATACTTCCTTTCCTATAAGAAAAGGTTGATTCTGAGACAGGACTGTCTCTAATGGCACGCATAGACCACTGCCTGCAGGGGATACTCACTCCTCTCAGCCTGTGGGTGGCCTTTTCTCCTTGGGTTAGGTTTCATCTTGGACTTCAGAAAGCACTGCATAGGCAAGGCTGTCTTCTGTCCTACATCTTGCAGTGTTTCCTTCCCTTCTTCCCTTTGCATCCGTAGAGAAACATGTTTCCTGTCTGCCCTGCAAGAAATAAAACCTAAAGCGGCTCATTTCCGAGCATTTACGAAGTCCCTGAGTGAACTGGAGAGAGGCAAGCGCAAGAGCCGCCTTCGCTGGGTGCAGGTGTGAGTAGCGGAAGGGAGAAGAGAATCTCTGTCCTCTGAGACCAAGTACAAATGACACACAGAATAACTCAAGGCCACACAGAATCTTTAAACAAGAGCGTCTGCTTTGTGTAAAGACTAAATGGCATTAGGAGGAAACTCAAACTCAAACTGGGTAACTTGTGGGTC